ACAAAAACACTTACAATGATCGACGATGACAATGGGCGAAACGGCGGTTTGGACAACCGAGAATATAAAGGATCAACCTACTGGAGAACCTCATTTGAAGAAATTTGTGTCGGCATGAAATATGGTGGTGATTTCATAGCATTCTCTTTCTCGTACCCGGCAGCATCGTTGTATAACCTGATCGCAGACGGAAACTATCGCCAAACTCACGTTGGTCGCGAGCAGTGGAAATCATTAATCGATGGATCATCCTTACATTACAGCTCAACTGCAACCAAGAGGGATTTAAAATATTCGTTGATAGCTACTACACAAGTGTTCGGTTGGGTTTGGAGGTAAACAATGAAAATGATTGTGAAATACCCGACTCTTACGTGGGCCTGGGATCTGAAGGTGGTCTGAATTATCCCAATAGCCATTGCAGCTCTGATCCAATTACATCTGCAAACGCCGCGGGTAATCTTGCCCAGTGTAGTCCAGACAACGGAACTAAGAATGCCAAAGCCATGGCATACATATCGGTTCGTTAAAAAAACTGAGTGGTCCGATTTACACTAGAGATGGATCATTCGTCAAAACGCATCATCTGTCAGACGGATCATTCGGTCATATGTAGCACGGGGCAATATCTACTGCAACTTGCAATGCAGTTAATTTCTGTCAGAGAGCCTTGCTAGCTATAAACGTTTGGAAATTACCGAGCATGGTCCACGGTTTACTCTGCGACATTTTTCATCCCGTTTCTTTCATTTTCATCCTTGTAGGAGCATGTTATGTGTAAATAATGTTTCGGCAGATTAGAATGCGGATCATGTTCCTTATTTCTCTGTAATACGTTTTAGATAACAAGACTCACTCATTTGGCTCTGCATACATGTATCTGAAGTTGCAGCAAACGTTTCCCCGCGTGACATGGCCTTAAAGTTTAGTGTAAAAATGATAGATAAACCATCCAGACGAAATAAAATATTGCAGGGAAACTGTTAGCGTGGCATTTTTCATCATATTTCTTTCAATTTTCATCCCTTAATGGTTCTGGCAACAAATCAGGCCTGATATTTTCTTGATAGCTTGTCTATTGTCATCCAAATATCTTCCACTCACAAAAACTCGTCCAAACGTATTGGCGGTCTCTAGCATAAATCGGGTCATTACATTTAAGATTCATTTAACATATTCACAATGGCTAATTGGTATAGTAAATGAACAAGATTAAATCACAGTAAATCTTGAATAGTATAGGCCTAGGGGACTATATAATCATATAGTGGTAATAGCACGAAATTAATTTTACTTTAAGTTGATAATTATCGTATACTTGCTTTATTTTAATCAACATTTTTCAATTATCAGAACTGCAGGGTTAAAAACTTCGCATTGCGAAATGCAATCAAGGGTTGGTACTTTATGTAATCTAAATTAAAATGTAGGAACATGTAATCCAAATGATGTAATCTTGATTAAACCAATTTGTCAATCAACTATAGTGTGCTGAAATTTATGAAATGCAAACAGTTTTCAAATTTCAAAATGCAAATCGATCAGTTTCAACATTTCAAATCATGCACCCATTTTGTTTAAGAACGTATTTTATGAGGGAGCCACCATCACTCGAAAGTGTTTTTCATGCAGGCCCTCGGATTATTAAAATACAATCAATAAAGGTAAAACATTAAAAGATAGTAAAGCAGATCCATATACAGCATAATGCACTAAACTATATATAATCATACGAATAACAGGGCTGATCACTATATTTAAAATTGCGAAAAGAGTTCAAACTAGATTTAAAAACTGCGAATACAAATTCCAATACTGTATGAGACTTAAAATTCAGGCAAAAATATTCCAATCCTCAGTAAAATGATAGTTTGTACTTAATTGTCTCCATGCAGTGAGTATTTATGACAGGTATGTACTCTAATAAGATGGTCTTCATTTCTTGTATTGTATGAATGGACCTCACTGGGGTTATATAATATTACATCTTCTGGGAATATCAGCTGGCAAACAACACGCGGATTATTACCAACAAATAAATCACAATAACGATACGGCTCTGATTGCCCCATATACAGTGTGTATCAAAATAATTCGAATCCAAATTTGACAGACTGCTGTTTATAAAATACTAAAGTAAACCATATAATTTTTATATGGCAATAAAGAATAGCCTATTAGGTTTCCGATTATATCGTTCTTATATCAATAAGATCAAAAATGACCAAGAAATCGTGTGTTAAAACTGGTTGCTCGAAATCAAATTTTTCCGCCGATGGGAATTCAAAGTGAGACGTACAAACAAAAGATAATGCAAATTTAATTAATCAACAAACTGTTATGTAGCAAAATTTACATAAATTCGTGTTCATTTAAAGAGATTTAAGCTCCTATGCCTTCAACATGTTGAACGAGAAGAAATTCGCGTTAAATTTGCATTTTAGTTTTCAGCGATGATTAGCATTTCAAAGCCTTGTGGGACTAACTTTGAAAGAAAAAATGTCCAATTCCCATCGGCGGAAAATTGTGATTTTTATGGACTTTTTTTGTCAAAGCAATACTCCTTCTTTTTCCAACTAAATGACGCGTACAGCATGTCATTTGAAAGGTAAATAAATGAACTTAACAATGGTGTAAAAACCAACCGAATTTGTCAAATATATTCTGCGTTATTACACGCCAAATTTGGATTCGAATTATTTTGATACACATTGTATAATATTAGAATATGATCAAATTTTTTATGCAAATTGCATGGAATATTCGATCAATATGATTTTTGGATTTTCAGGCATGCAAACATAATAATACTTCTGTTGCACATAAATGTGCGAACAGATGGGATATTTTCCCAATATTTCAGTTGCTGTACTTCAAATTGCTGAAATGAGATTATTTTAAAATAAATAATTATAATAGGCAACGTGCAAAAATAGCTGGAACTGGTAAACAGCGTTTTTTTTAATTTATGCCCATAATTACGTCCTGTATAACTATAACTAAGCAAAATAACCTCCTGTTGCTGCAGCTTACAGTGACAATTGACGTCAATTAAATGTATTAGAAGGGTCGGGAGCATATTTTGAAAATGAATGTATAGTACTTTTTTAAACTATTTGTCTCCTACGCTACCAGATCTCCTTCCATAGATCAGTTGGTAGAGCGAGGGACTGTAGTTGTTCGCAGCAATAATCCCTAGTTCACTGGTTGGAATCCGGTTCGAAGGATTCGAAATTTTAGATGTGTGAGTAAAGAGCTAAAATGGGATGGGGGGTGAGGGGGGGTAAATAGGTATTCCGATCGTCAAATTTCGGATCTGGCGAATTAGTCTAGGACCTGTATATGAGTTTGTATGCATTTCATTTAGGGCAGATAATCTCAACTGTTTTAGGGCAAGTTGACCATGACGGTCAACATGGTAACGCTGCCCGAACCGGGACGAAACGTCCGAAACTGACCACACCAAAAAACGACGCTTTCGCCATACTGCTATTTACCAAACCATAAAAGCTTTGGCTATTTTGAGGTGCTTATATGGTTCAGAGATGGTACTTTTGGGGGTGGTCATTGGTAAGTGTGAAATGCCTAACACTAATATTTCACAAGAAAATGACCATGCAATAATCATAGTTAAACGTCAATTTGTGGCTTGCAACTTCAGATAAACAGCAGTGGACTTACATTAACTTTTTCTCTAAATCTTTTTGATAGAAACATAATTGGTACTTATTTAAATATATTATCACTGATTTGGTGTAAAATATAGTTAATATTTTCTGACCGAAAATAATAATTTGAAATGTGCCTACCTCCTTCAACTGAATGGACGTATTTGGCCAAGTCTCCAATTTACTCCACAGTTTATCGGCGATCTCGTCGACATCCTACAAAAAATGTAAATCATCTCAGACATAATGGTATCGAGAACATTTTAAACAAGTTTCAACGTGGTTTCAAGTACATCATACCTGTTTAACCATCGACAAGGTAAATCCACAACGTAACTTTGTCCAAATACGGCGCCATTTTAATTTGTCATCCCGTGTCGGTTGTCAACAATTCAGCCTTGTTACTCTTCCATCCAAGCCATTTCCATTCCACTAATAATAAATTTAACCCTTTATAACGGTAGGAAACTAAAAAATCTAAACAAAATATAAGAAATGCGCCATTTTATCACCCTGTAAAGTGTTGTTTACGAGTCCTTCGAAACATTTCGTACAAATCTCGCGTGGTTTAGCAACAGGGACTTGGCAGGAGGGTAGAGACTTGAAAAATGAAAGGAAAGCCGACACAGTATCCAACAATCAACATTTAATTTGTATGACTTTTTCATATTAATAAATAATAATATGTATATATTTGTCGCTACAAGAAATAAAACAAACGTTTATATGATTGTATTTAGCTTTTGGTCTATTTCACGCTGCGTTCTTCTATCTTCGTGAAATAATTCACCCCCTCCTGTCACGTTCCTGTTACTTTGTCACGCGATATTTGTAGGGAATGTTTTGAAAGACTCGTGACCAAAATTTTACAGGGTGATAAAACTAGTTATATCTCGGCATTCTCGGGCTTAATGGCCCCATTATATGCGCATAATTAGCCTAGTTATCCTTACTAATTCATGAGTTATGCAAATTAATTTACATAATCGATGGCGTATTTTCCGAAGGCTCTCCGATGATGGTAAAACAACGAGAGCTTTCCGATTAGTCGCCATTTTGTTTCAAGATGGCGGAAGGGTTAATAATGGGGGTTTTAAGGGAAAATAACATTGAATTGAGTGTGAATACTTTTCGTTTCCATTTAAAATTGCTTTTGGAAAAGCATGGGGTTTTTTTTGAAAGCATGATAGCTCGTATTGGAAGAGAGAACGTACTTGAAAGTTTGTGTGTAATCTATTAAAACCCGTTCAAATTTTGGTAGAATTATGGCTTACTTGACTTTAGTTTTTAAAGTTAGCGATTTTTGTGAGCCTGAAATTGTGCAAGAAGCCGTAAAAATCTGTGTATGGGAATTAAAACAGGCGGATATAGCTAGCTTCGAAATAAAACAGTCTTGGACCCAACGCTTAATTGCATGGTTACGCGACTAGTAACCTGGCGAAATTTGAATATCACTAAACCGGGTTGAATAGCAAAAGTCATTAACTGTTGTACATGGCTGAACACATTGTAAATTTACGACATTAGAGAGGTTAAGATACCCCGGTTTACGGGTACGAGTGATATACACGTACCCGTAAATCGAGGAACGACTTGTCACTTAAGAAATCCAAGATATTCCGGCGCGAGAAAACCGATCAAAAAATGGCAACTTTCGATGTTGAGGTTCTTAATTGATTGTTGAAAACTTTGACAAGTGTATGTGCAGTATTTAATTGTGTAAGATATTGAAAATTTGTAGTATTTGAACGGCCCACAAATAGTAAACAGAAAACACTCGTACCAGTTTGTCTTTACGTGTAGACAACGGTTTACCGCGGGGAAACGGCTTGAAATTACGGGTAAAAATGCTGACATCAGCAAAAGTGGGTAAACAAAATGGCGATACTCGTTCCCGTAAACCGGAACCGTGATATCTTAACCTGTCTATTTCCCGGACGCGTTTATGCTGTCTTAGTAAGAAACGGGCTTTAGCGGCAGGACATAAGTATCGCAGGGTGAATTTAAACAATTTACTTCTTTTCCTGATTTCAAATTTAAGTAATATATAATTGTAATATAGCTAATGTTCTCTTTTATATAAATGTAATGTCATATATACCTCACGTAATATAACCTTTTTAATTAAGTAAACTTGAAAGTCAACTGAATATTGATTTATAATCATATATATATATTTATAATCAAAAATATATATATATATATATATATATATATATATATATATATATATATATATATGTATATAAATGTTGTAAATAGACAATTGATATACTCCCTAATTTTTTGTAAATTTTATGAGGGCCAGAAGTTCATTAGTACTTCGTCCTATTAAGTGTCACCCTCTTTAAATAACGTCTCTATCTATCTCTATCTATCTATCGCCCACCAAACAGTATCATTGCCATAATTCACAGCAATGGAGTGTTTGCATGGATTGGCAGCGTCCACGGTTTCTACAAAAAATGGGAAATTTTGGCTTAATTTGCAACAAAAATAACCCAAACAGTTGTGAATTTGATCCAGAAGAAGCGTTAGAAGCAGCTGTTGATAAGAGAAAGTCTCTTATAAGAAGGCTTTTAAAGCGTTACGCTTTGGCCCGAAAGCTACAAAAAGTACAAGTATTTTACATAGACTCTAACTCTACCATTGCCTACAAAGGCGGACATTATGAAAAAGGCTTACTGAACAGTTTCAGTATTCCAGCCGTAAATTTGGAGTCCTTTCAATGTCCTAAAGCTGAAAAACTCTTTGACCAAATCATCTGGCTGGAAACCTGCAAAAACCACCTATATACGCTTTGGCCTGAACACTACGAAAAGTACAAATATTTTTACGTAGACTCTAGCTCTACCATTCGGCCTACAAAGGCGGACATTATCAAAAAGACTTACTGAACAGTCTCAGTATTCCAGCCGTAAATTTGGAGTCCTTTGGATGTCCTAAAGCTGAAAACCTCTTTGACCAAATCATCTTCCTGGAAACCTGCAAAAACTACCTACCAACACTGTCCGAAAGTTGAAACCGGAGTGTAATACCATTAATAGCTGAATCGTATCAACGACTAAGTCTAAACCTTTGAAAATGAGTTTTTCACAAAATTTTGAGACTGCTCATGAGCGAATGCTCATCTGCTCATAAGGCCCGTTTAACCCGAACTACTGTGTCTGGTACAATTTTGTGCGATGAGCAGGTGAGCATGTGTTCATAACTGCTCATGAGCACATGCTCATCTGCTCATGAGGCCCGTTTAAGCCCAATGGCCCGAAGTGCATTCTTCGTTCGTGGAAGCCGAGACACAACAGCAGAAAAAATGATTACTTTATGTACCCAAATGTATAATTTTTCGTATTCGCATGTTTTTGCCATTTTGATTTCTATCCAGTCAACCCATGTAAAAATGACAAGAAAGACAGGTATAATTGAAAAGCAATTTACTTTAATGACTCGAAGTTACATGCTGTGTCTATACTTGTATTGTTTTATATGCTAATACTGTTCGAGTACAAGATTTCAATCCTATATTCGACCAATCAGTCGAGAGTCTAATCATCACTGCATGTCATCATCATTCTCTTCATCAGAATCGTAACCCTTTAAAAGCCTTCTTATAAGAAACATTTAACTCCGAACTACTACGCACAGATTTTGTTAGATTTTCAAAATCATGTCGGGTACAATTTTGCGCGATGTGCACATACTCGTAACTGCTCATGAGCACATGCTCGTCTGCTCATAACTGCTCATGAGCACATGCTCATCTGCTCATAACTGCTCATGAGCACATGCTCATCTGCTCATAACTGCTCATGAGCACATGTTCATCTGCTCATAACTGCTTATAACACATGCTCATCTGCTCATAAAACTGCAGTGCTGCTCAATAACAAGGCATTTCTACATAAACATAACAAGAAAAGACATAAATTGAAAAGCAATTTATTTTAATGACTCGAATTTACATGCATGCTGTGTCTATACTGGTATTGTTTTTAATTAGATGCTAATACTGTTCCAATACAAGACTTCAATCCTATAATCGACCTATCAATCGAGTCTAATCATCATTGCATGTCATCATCATTCTTTTCATCAAAATCGTAACGCTTTAAAAGCCTTCTTATAAGTAACTTTCTCTTATCAACAGATGCTTCTTCCGGATGAAAATCATCGTTTTCCACAAGCGCATCTTTTGTGCGCATTATCTTCTTATGTACTGGATCTTTCTTTAGTTGTTTCATCCACACGAGACGCTCCATATAAATATTTTCCAGTTCCTTCTGGAGTTTAGGCAGCATATTAGAGAAAGCTTTGTCCTTAGCGGATTGCTCATCTAGACCAGTGTTTATAAGGCTTTCTTTCATTCCCTCTAAAGCTATATTTCTTCTTTGTTTTGCATCTTCTATCAACGATATCCAAGGGTCCATTTCCTCTTCAGTTTCTGACTCATTATCAGTCCTCATCGAAATTTCAGACACATCGGTTGAAGTTGTTGAGATATCGTCTTGGAAATCCCTTTCCTGGCTATCCGAGTTTGTTTGAGACATGTTTCGTTCTTG